TATTTTTACTATAACTAAATATAACAGATTATACTGTAATTAAATGTAATTATAGCACATTATATCAATTATATAGCATTATAATTGAATTATATACATTATAAGAAATTATAATAGGATTATAATTAATTATAATATATTTTAATTGTATTACAATGAATTATCGATGAATAATCGATTATATAGCATTATAATTGAATTATAATACATTATAACAAATTATAATAGGATTATAATCAATTATACCACATTTTAATTGTATTATAATGTATTATATTGCATTATAATTAAATTATAATTTATTATATTGCGTTATAATTAAGTATTTCACAGTGTAATTGTATAATAACTAAATATTTAGCATTTTAATTAATTATAATAAAGTACAGCAAATTATAATTAGTTTATAATTAATTATAACAGATTATAATTAATTATAACATTTTATAATTAATTATAACATTTTATAATGTATTATTATTGTATCATAATCAATTGTGTTGCATTATAATTGATATATTATAAGTTTTAACAAATTATAATAGAATTATAATTAATTATAAAACATTATAATTGTATTATAGTGAATTATATTACGTTATAATATAATTATAATAACGTACAACACATTATAATTAGATTAGAACTAATTATAACAGTATATACTAATTATAGCACATTATATTTGTATAATAATCAAATATATAGCATTTGAATATAATTATACTACATTATAAGAAATTACAATAGAATTATAAATAATTATAACACATTATAATAGTATTATATTGAATTATAATGCGTTATAATTAAATTATAGTTAATTACAATACATTGTAATTTAGTAAAACACATTATAATTGTTTTATAAATAAACATAAAGCATTATAATAGTGTTATAATTAATTATAATACATTATAACTAGATTATAATTAATTATAAAACATTATAACTAGATTATTATTAATTATAACATATTATTATTGTACTATAATTTGCTTTTCTCTAAATAATTTATATTTTACTTTAAAGCCTATCAAAAGTACGTTGCCTCTGCCCCTGTAATTATTTTAAAAAATTCTAAAAAAAATTCTCTTTTTTTCCTAAATTCATCTCTACTCCCCTGATTATATACAATTCTCTAAGAGAATTTATTAAATATACCTGATAAATACTCCTAGGTTTTATTATTCCCAACGCCTGCGCTTTTCCTTATATACCGCAAAACCTAGGGGTTTATATAGGCAACTATTTGTTGTAGTTTTAAAATTCTCTGTCTGTTTAAAACAAACCATAAAAAAGTGGGTGTATTTTGTAGCGCTGCCCCCTCTATCAGTTTTTGAACTAAGTTTTGTATATAAAACATACATAAATTTAACGAATTTGATGGGAAACTGTTGAAGGTAGTGATAAATAATGTTGTTTTTTTTTTCTTTGTTGTATGGGATTTATGCTGTGAGTGTTTGCTAGTGATTTTTGTTTGTGTGTGTTTTTAGCGAACTTTTCTTTACAAATTGAGATATTAAAGGTGTAAGGATTTAAATTTAATAAAGAATTATTTAAAAACATAAAATAGAGGATTTTAAAGAGAAATAAAGATCTATTAATGGCAGAGAAGGAATTGGGGAAAAATTAAGTTTTCGACTAGACTCTATATACATGCAGACAAAACCATAGTCTGGAAAATGAAACATAGATTACACTATTAGGTTGACTATAGACTAGACTATAGACTAGACTTTAGACTAGACTATAGACTAGACTATAGACTAGACTATAGACTAGACTATAGACTAGACTATAGACTAGACTATAGACTAGACTATAGACTAGACTATAGACTAGACTATAGACTAGACTATAGACTAGACTATAGACTAGACTATAGACTAGACTATAGACTAGACTATAGACTAGACTATAGACTAGACTATAGACTAGACTATAGACTAGACTATAGACTAGACTATAGACTAGACTATAGACTAGACTATAGACTAGACTATAGACTAGACTATAGACTAGACTATAGACTAGACTATAGACTAGACTATAGACTAGACTATAGACTAGACTATAGACTAGACTATAGACTAGACTATAGACTAGACTATAGACTAGACTATAGACTAGACTATAGACTAGACTATAGACTAGACTATAGACTAGACTATAGACTAGACTATAGACTAGACTATAGACTAGACTATAGACTAGACTATAGACTAGACTATAGACTAGACTATAGACTAGACTATAGACTAGACTATAGACTAGACTATAGACTAGACTATAGACTAGACTATAGACTAGACTATAGACTAGACTATAGACTAGACTATAGACTAGACTATAGACTAGACTATAGACTAGACTATAGACTAGACTATAGACTAGACTATAGACTAGACTATAGACTAGACTATAGACTAGACTATAGACTAGACTATAGACTAGGACTATAGACTAGACTATAGACTAGACTATAGACTAGACTATAGACTAGACTATAGACTAGACTATAGACTAGACTATAGACTAGACTATAGACTAGACTATAGACAGACTATAGACTAGACTATAGACTAGACTATAGACTAGACTATAGACTAGACTATAGACTAGACTATAGACTAGACTATAGACTAGACTATAGACTAGACTATAGACTAGACTATAGACTAGACTATAGACTAGACTATAGACTAGACTATAGACTAGACTATAGACTAGACTATAGACTAGACTATAGACTAGACTATAGACTAGACTATAGACTAGACTATAGACTAGACTATAGACTAGACTATAGACTAGACTATAGACTAGACTATAGACTAGACTATAGACTAGACTATAGACTAGACTATAGACTAGACTATAGACTATAGACTAGACTATAGACTAGACTATAGACTAGACTATAGACTAGACTATAGACTAGACTATAGACTAGACTATAGACTAGACTATAGACTAGACTATAGACTAGACTATAGACTAGACTATAGACTAGACTATAGACTAGACTATAGACTAGACTATAGACTAGACTATAGACTAGACTATAGACTAGACTATAGACTAGACTATAGACTAGACTATAGACTAGACTATAGACTAGACTATAGACTAGACTATAGACTAGACTAGACTATATACTAGACTATGGACTAGACTATAGACGAGACTACAGACTAGAATATAGACTATAGACTAGACTATAGACTAGACTATAGACTAGACTATAGACTAGACTATAGACTTGACTATAGACTAGACTATAGACTTGACTATAGACTAGACTATAGACTAGACTATAGACTATACTATAGACTAGACTATAGACTAGACTATAGACTAGACTATAGACTAGACTATAGACTAGACTATAGACTAGACTATAGACTAGACTATAGACTAGACTATAGACTAGACTATAGACTAGACTATAGACTAGACTATAGACTAGACTATAGACTAGACTATAGACTAGACTATAGACTAGACTTTAGACTATAGACTAGACTATAGACTAGACTATAGACTAGACTATAGACTAGACTATAGACTAGACTATAGACTAGACTATAGACTAGACTATAGACTAGACTATAGACTAGACTATAGACTAGACTATAGACTAGACTATAGACTAGACTATAGACTAGACTATAGACTAGACTATAGACTAGACTATAGACTAGACTATAGACTAGACTATAGACTAGACTATAGACTAGACTATAGACTAGACTATAGACTAGACTATAGACTAGACAATAGACTAGACTATAGACTAGACTATAGACTAGACAATAGACTAGACTATAGACTAGACTATAGACTAGCCTATAGACTAGACTATAGACTAGACTATAGAATAGACTAGACTATAGACTAGACTATAGACTAGACTATAGACTAGACTATAGACTAGACTATAGACTAGACTATAGACTAGACTATAGACTAGACTATAGACTAGACTATAGACTAGACTATAGACTAGACTATAGACTAGACTAAAGACTAGACTATAGAAGAGACTATAGTCTCGATTATAGAATATACTAGACTTTGTTTAGATTTTATTTATATTTGGTAAAACTTGTTGCTAACATTCTTATACATTAATAAAACAATTGAATAAAAAACGTGTTTATAAAACTAACTAAAAGATTACAAAAACAACAAAGAACTTAAAAGACAACTAACAACAATAAATGTTAACAATAATTAAGTAGATTTATAAATAATTTTGTTAATAAAACCATTAAATAGATAAAAATAAACAAAATGATATTTTCGCTAAAATTTAAACATGAAAAATTAACAACTTCATTAATATTTAAATGATTTTAAATAATAAATACAGAAATTTAGAAGGAAAGTAGATTATTTCATAAATATTAAGAAATGTCTGCTAAATTTGTTAGTGATTTTGTTAAATAACATTTGTAAATAATTTAAAAGTAAAAGAATATTCTTTTATAAAACGAAAGAAAAAACGTGAACAACAAAACATGTGTTTTTTAAAGAGTTTACACATGTTTTGCAACCACTGTGCTTTAACAGCTGAAGCAAATTATTACGTTATACGTAAGTAATACATAAGAGTAAAAGAGACAGCTATTAGGCTATAACAATTTTGACAGTTGATAAAAGAAGAAAATGGAATAGAAAGGAATACGAAAATTTTTGCAAAGAAAAAAAGCAAAAACAACAAGAAAGAAAAAAAAACCTAAAGAATTATACCAAAAAAAAAAATTAAAATTTTTCAAGATAATTTGAAAAAGAAATTAAAGGAAATAATAAACAAATATTTAAAGACTAATGTTAACTTGCTATTAATTAGTTCAAAAATATTTTAAACTAATAAGAAAACCCTCAAAGAAGTTAACAAATCAGGAAATGAAAAAAAGCCAAAATCATATGAACAATTTAGCAGCAGCAGAATATTTTTTTTACGTAAAATCTATCACGTAAAAGAACTTACCATTTTATAATCTGTATATTGTTTGCAATTTTATAGAAAACTTTTTTTTTTTAATAACGAAAGCAAATTGTTGCTTTATGTGGCTCTTATTAGGCCTTTTTTGAGATATTTTACTTTTTTTCTTCACCAATAAAACACTTTTTATTTTGTTAACACAATTACATTTGCTCTTGCTGCTGGAAAGATGACTATTGTATTTTTATTTCTTGTTACTTTTTTTTAGTGTAATTCTTTTACTTTTTTTCAATAAACAAGTCACTGTAGAAATTTCTATTCCCCTTCCCGACTGCTAGGCGTTATTTTCTTTTTTTATCTGCTTTGGCAAATTATTTTTCTTATTAACTTTTTTTTTTGCTACCCAAACCGTATTCACTTTTTTTTACTCCATTCACTTGTATTTTTTTTGTAATTATTGTTGTTGTTTTTGCTTTTTAGTATTTCTTCTTTTTACCGCACGTTTTTTTTTCCAACGAAACACACAAATTTCTGCTGGCACGACCAACCAGTTAAAAAATTACCGCACAAATGAAAAAGCAATCAAATTTTTTGCTGGCTTTATAAAGAATTTTTCTTTTGTTGTTGTTATTTTTCAATTTCAGTTTTCTTTTTGACATTTAAAAGGGTTGCCTGCCTGTCTGCTCTAACTGTGTAGTAGAAAATCGCCTATATGTAAGCGTTTTGTTATTATTATCTTATTAAAAAGAAAAAACCACAAAAAATTTAAAATTTTTATAAAAATAATATTTAAATAAACTAAACTTTCTAAAATTATTTAAAATTTTTATTCTTCTTCTTTTAAAAATCCCCTATTTTACGGTAAAATCTGTTAAACATTTTTTCATTCCTTTTTTATTTAATATGGCAATGCTTATCAGCCATGGTGTTGTTGTTTTTCAAGTAAACAAAGCGAAAGAAAAAGAAGAGTGATTTGTTACAAAGAGTTGCCAATTGTGGGATTTCTTTTTTTGTAGGTTTGCTGTTAGTATGCAAAATATGTATGTAATCAAAAGTAAGATAAAAAATATATTAACTAAATAATAATTTCAAGAATTTTGTATTAAAATAATAAAATTTTGTATAAAAATAACAAAAAATCTTAACAGCAATTATTACTTTTGAAACAACACAAAAATTCTTATTAGAAATTAGCTCTGTTCTATAGAATATCTTTAAAATAAGGTACTCTTTAAAGTACTTTTTATAAAAGTTTTATAAAAAAACAAAATTTATTAACTCACATATTTATCAACATATTCATATAATTTTTATTTTAAATTAATAAAAAATAGTAGAAATTATTTCTTAAAATTCGTTTACTTACATTTTTTCATAATTTTTTTACTAAAAGTGAACATTTGATGACTTTATACAAGAGATTTAACAATAATATCTGGCTACTCCAACTGTTCAACCATAACAATAACGTAAACAAGGTAAAGCAGTATAAATGGAAAGCAATGCTGCAATAGGAAAAGAGAAAATAATAAAAAAGTCATTTATTACACATTATGATGAAATATTGAAGAGAAAAGGACACACTGGGCGATTATTTCTAGAAGTTTAAGGAATCAAACATGGCTACTCTAACTGTTTAGCCATAATAAGGTAAATAAGGCTAAACAGTGCGATTGATAATAGTGTTGCACAAAGTAAACATTGAATAACAGATAATACAGTTCTAAAGATTATAATGTTCTCTAAAATAAATAAAATATGAACATATAAAACAGTAATAAGTGGGATTAAACTGTTTAAGACAAAACATTAAGAGAAAAACAAGATGTTTTCTATGTAATTAGAGATTCTATTAGGACTTCATATAACAGTTTAACCATGACAACTAAAGAGAGTAGGTAAATAAGTGAAAATGATAATACTGTTATATAAAGTAAACATTAGAGTAGATAAGACAGGGTGCAGCAATACAAATGGTAATAGAGTGCTAAAAAAAAGTAAACAAAATAGAAAAATGAGCAGATAACAGAGTTTTCAACAGTATAAAGTGAAAAGAAAACTATTTAATACAAAGTAAACATAAACATAACAGAATTCTATAGAGGAAACTTTACAGATCAAATGTTAATTCCTAGAATTGTATACAAGATACAACAGTTCAAACGAAAGCAGAGATAGATAACAGTGTTTTATAAAGTAAATATTGCAATGTAAGATAATACAGTTTCATTAGAGAAATCTTACAGAAAGAAGGATAAACACGTGTTTTTTTTAAATTGTAACAGAAATTAACTAAATTTTATACACAAATTTAATAAAAATTAAGAATATTTAAAAAAAATTTACTAGAATTTTATAATTTTACAGTTTAATTAGACAAATCTTACAGAAAGAAGGATAAAATTGTAACAGAAATTAACAAAATTTTAAACACAAATTTAATAGAAATTAAAAACATTTACACAAAATTTACTAGATTTTTATAATTTTTAAATGAATACTAAAGAAATTTCTTGTTTTTTACAAATTACCACTAAAAATCTTACAATATTTCTCTTTTTTAATAAAAATGCTGAAATTCCTTTTAGTTCTTTTGTTTTTTTAATATATTTGTTGATTTAATATATATTTTTGTTTATAAGTTTGTTGTTATAGTTTTACAATTTTGTCTGTTTCATACTTTCTTTAAACCATAATTTTATTTTGTCACAAATTGTACTCGTTTTTTATTCGTTTAAATCTTTCCTTGTTTTTTTTTTTTTTTTTTTTTTTTTGCTTTTTTTGGGATAAAGTTAAGACTGACATATAATAATAATAATAATTTAAAAACTTGTTTATAGTTCAATAAATTTCATATATTTTATAGACAATTAGAGTAAATATTTGTGTTTTATAGTTGGTTTTTTCGTTTTATAAGTTTTATTATAACAGTTTTTGTATAACAGTTTACAAAAAAGAAAGCTGCGGGTTTTGGTTTATTAAAAAATATATATGTATGTATGTATATATTTTTATATGCAATAACATTTTAAAACAAAATTGTTGTAAAAATTAGTTTATTTTTGTTTTTTTTGCAGAAAAATTTCAGAACACAATCTTAATTTGTGCTGGTTTTTTTATTTGTTTTGTTTTAGTTGTTCATGGAAGTTTAGGGTTTTTTAATGAATGTGTTTAAGGTTTTACCACAATTTTGTTTTAATTTCAAAACATTTTTTTCTAATAATAATTTTTTTCTAGTTAGTTTTCAACAGTTATTAGTAGTAGAAGTTCTTTTTTGCTATTTTAAGAACATTTAACAATTTAAGCATAAGCTCGTTTTTATTATTGTTTAAATTTTGATTATTAAATTTTACGCTTGTATTTCAATTAAATAAATGTTCATCAAAAAAGGTAGAAGACGTCTTTTTTAATGCCCTATATATAAACACTTAAAAATAAATCCAAAAATGTTACATTTTGCTAAATGCCTTTCAAAAATAAATTTAAAACAAAAATCAACAAAATCATTATGTTAAAAATATTAAAACTCAACTATAAATGAGTTAATAAAAAGTTCTAAATTAAAAGTTTAGTTTTAGTTAGGTTTAGTTTGTGTGTGTGTGTAATGATTATCTTTTTCAATGTATGTGTGTGTGTATGTTTTCATTTAACTAAATGACTAAATTTATAGTTAGTTTTCTTTTTTTTCTGTATTACATTTTAACAGTTTAAATTTGTTATTAAATATTATTTTTTTAGTTTTTACTTTAGCATTTTTTTCTCAAAACAATTATTTAAATTAATTTGTTTTTAACAATATTAATTAGTTTATACATTTAGGAGGGTTTTGCTTTGTTTACTAAAGATGGTAAAGTACCATTTCCATTTGTTGTTGTTGTGTTTGCTTTTAAAGAGCCATTCGTTAAGGAGTTGCAGTTGTTGGACTTCAAACTGCCATTTGTGGTTTTAGAGACTTGCTCCTCAGCTAGAGATTTGTTCGTTGTTTTAGAGGGCGGGAAGAAGACCTTTGCAGAAAAAAGAAACGAAATATTAAAATTTGCTTAAAATTTCTTGAAATTAAATATACTTTGCTTAAAGCAAATTATTTGTTTTTGCTGTTACAACAATTTTTTTATCATAATTAAATTAAGAACTTAATAATACATTTATTTATTATTAATAACTTTCAATACCGTTATTTGTTTAATAATTTTTTAAATCTAAACTTTTTTAAAAATTATGTTCCATAAATTTTTAATATTGTTTTTACTTTTGTTAGAGAAACTTTTTTGTTGTTGCTGCAAAAACAACACTTTTTGTTAAAATAAATAAGGAGACTTCAATACATTTATTTACATTAAGTTGATGTTAATAACGCTATTAGAACTCTACATTTTCCTAACAAAACTTTTTGACAGATTTTTTTATCTAAACATTTTTAATATTTTTACTTTTGTTCGGAAAACTTTTTTGTTGTTGTTGCAATTTCAAAAATTTTTGTTAAAAATTATTCAGAAGTTTTTAATGCATTTATTTATTATAAATTCTTTTCAATAGCGTTATTGGATCTCAAAGTTTTTGAAAGAAAACTTTAACAAATTTTTTGTTTTCAAAATTTTTAAGATTCTTTTTACTTTTGTTCGGGAAACTTTTTTGTTGTTATTGCAATTTAAAAATTTTTTGGTAAAAACTATTCAGAAGTCTTCAATACATTTGTTTATTATGAATTAATGTCAATATCGCTATTGCAATCCAAAGTTTTTATAACGAAACTTTTTGAAAATTTTTTCATAGAAAATTTTTAAGATTATTTTTACTTTGTTCGGGAAACTTTTTTGTTGTTGTTGCAATTTCCAAAATTTTTGGTAAAAACTATTCCGAAGTCTTCAACACATTTGTTTATTATGAATTAATGTCAATATTGCAATTCAAAGTTTTTATAACAAAACTTTTTGAAAAAATTTTTCAATATGATATTGTTTTACTTTTGTTAGAGAAACTTCTTTGTTGTTGTTGCAATTTCAAAAAATTTTGGTAAAAACTATTCCGAAGTCTTGAATACATTTGTTTATTATGAATTAATGTCAATATCTCTATTGCAACTCAAAGTTTTTATAACGAAACTTTTTGAAAGTTTTTTCATAGAAAATTTTAAAAATTGTTTTTCTTTTTGAAGAGAAACCTTTTTAACTTTGGTTCGTTTACAACAAATTTTTCATAAATAAGTTATGAACTTCATAAGGCATTTACAGGCACTATTCCGCTTAAGCTGTCGCTGTTGTTAGAGAATATTTTTATACTAAAACTTAAGGAATTGTTTATTTTCTAAACAATTAGAAAGTGCGTCTCCTTTGTTTAGGAAAACTTTTTTGTTTTTGGTCCGATTGCATCAAATCTTGCATAAAAAAGTTGGGAACCCCTCAATACATATATTTACTGTATAATCTTATTCAAAGCAACAGTTTTTAGAAGAACATATTTGTTTAAAAATATTAATTAAAAAAAATATTTTAAAAGTGTTTTTTCTTTGCTTAGGGAAACTTTTTTGTTTTTGGGCCGATTGTAAAAAATATTGCATAAATAAGTTGAGAACTCATTCATACATCTATTTACTGTATGAACTTATTAATATCGCCATTAAAAGCAACAATTTTTAGAAGAAAAATAATTTTTTTCTTAAGGAAATTTCAAAAGTGTTTTTACTTTTCTTAGAAAAACTTTTTTATTTTTGATCCGATTACAATAAATCTGACAGAAATCAGTTGAGAACTTAAAAGTGCATTTAATTACATTGTGATGCTAAAGCTATCGCGCTTTACTATAAACAATTTTATACTAAAACTTTTGAAAAAATATTTTTTCGGACAATTGTAAAAATGTTTTTACTTTGCTTAGAAAATTTTTTTTGTTGTGGAAGCGATTACAAAAATTTTTATATAAAAATGTAAAGGACACTTTAACATATTAATTTATACTAACTTTTTGTTGTTATCGTTATTGTAACTAAAAATATTGTCCTACCTTAATAGCTCCTTTAATCAGCAAAAAGAACCAATAGATTTGTGGTAAAAATAATATTAAAATGCCAATAATACAACCGATGGGTAGACCCGAAATGGCCTGCCATATAGTGGCATTTATTTCCAAACTATAGCGCCACATAACATAAGGCCACATTAAAACACGACACACAAAGAATGAGCCCAACATAACCAAACCATTAACAATATAAGGTTGGGATTCTTTCATGCCTAAAGTGCTTAAAATACTGCGCAACGAAACGAATGGAGTGGAGAATTCCATCATAAACATATAGCTATAAATGCAATGACCACCACCGCGTATATACTAGAAGAGAAAGAAAGAAATATATAAAAGAAAATTTAAAGAAAATTAATTATAATTAAAAAAACTTACAGTAACCACCAAAAATCCTACAGTACCGACAAAAATGTGATGTATCATCATGACTGGATGTGTAAAGACATACTTAAGGAAACCCCATTTACCATTTTGTGGTATTTGCACTGTCTCGCCATCATAATCATAGATTTCATCTTCATGATGTCTCATGTGTTGCATATCTTCATTGGTGTCATTAGCAAAATCATCTTCCAAAGCCACTAAACGCTGGCCCTTAGCATTAAAGGTACTGGCTATATGTTTATCATAAAGACCACCATTACTACTTTGACCATTTAAAGGTTTGGGAGTAAACGAGGCGGACGAAGTTAACTTCATTAACTTTAATTTATCGGCTATCTTTTGTGTATGCACCTGATACATAGACCAGATATCGTACATAAAGTAAGCGGTACCAAACCAACCATAGCCCTCCATTAGGCAGTGGGAAGCATAAACGAATGTTTTACTGCATGTTGATTTGCAAACAATCAAACCAACGAGGAATGAGAATGAAGCCTGTATGGCGGAGACAATTCTGGAAAGATAAAGAAACATAAAAAAAGAATTATTATTTTGTTTTTATTTCTCAAAAGTTGTAAAGTTTGTATGGCGCCCTTTAGTTTAAGGGAAAAATATTGTTGTTATAGCAAAACTGATTGCATTTTTTTAAGGATTTAATAATGCGTAATATTTGCATTTGTTTTACGTTAGTAGTTTTTCATTTGTGTTTAGTTTTTCTAGCTTATGAAGGAAATTTGGATTTAAGCCAAAATAAGGTTCAAGGTTTGAAACAATCTAGGTATGTCATCATCTTTACGCAATTTGGAGAATATAATTTAACAAGAACAGAACCAGAACAAAACTAGAACAGAACTAGAACAGCTCTAGAACAGAACTAGAACAGAACTAGAACAGAACTAGAACAGAACTAGAACGGAACTAGAACAGAACTAGAACAGAACTAGAACAGAACTAGAACAGAACTAGAACAAAACTAGAACAGAACTAGAACTGAACTAGAACAGAACTAGAACAGAACTAGAACAGAACAAGAACAGAACTAGAACAGAACTAGAACAGAACCAGAACAGAACTAGAACAAAACTAGAACAGAATTAGAACAGAACTAGAACAGAACTAGAACAGAACTAGAACAGAACTAGAACAGAACTAGAACAGAACTAGAACAGAACTAGAACAGAACTAGAACAGAACTAGAACAGAACTAGAACAGAACTAGAACTAGAACGGAACTAGAACAGAACTAGAACAGAACTAGAACAGAACTAGAACAGAACTAGAACAGAACTAGAACAGAACTAGAACGGAACTAGAACAGAACTAGAACAGAACTAGAACAGAACTAGAACAGAACTAGAACAGAACTAGAACAGAACCAGAACAGAACTAGAACAGAACTAGAACAGAACTAGAACAGAACTAGAACAGAACTAGAACAGAACTAGAACAGAACTAGAACAAAACTAGAACAGAACTAAAACAGAACTAGAACAGAACCAGAACAGAACTAGAACAGAACTAGAACAGAACTAGAACTAGAACGGAACTAGAACAGAACTAGAACAGAACTAGAACAGAACTAGAACAGAACTAGAACAGAACTAGAACAGAACTAGAACGGAACTAGAACAGAACTAGAACAGAACTAGAACAGAACTAGAACAGAACTAGAACAGAACTAGAACAGAACTAGAACAGAACTAGAACGGAACTAGAACAGAACTAGAACAGAACTAGAACAGAACTAGAACAGAACTAGAACAGAACTAGAACAGAACCAGAACTAGAACAGAACTATAACAGAACTAGAACAGAACTAGAACAGAACTAGAACAGAACTAGAACAAAACTAGAACAGAACTAAAACAGAACTAGAACAGAACCAGAACAGAACTAGAACAGAACTAGAATTAGAACAGAACTAGAACAGAACTAGAACAGAACTAGAACAGAACTAGAACAGAACTAGAACAGAACTAGAACAGAACTAGAACAGAACTAGAACTGAACTAGAACAGAACTAGAACAGAACTAGAACAGAACTAGAACAGAACCAGAACAGAACAGAACAGAACTAGAACAGAACTAGAACTAGAACTAGAACAGAACTAGAACAGAACTAGAACTAGAACAGAACTAGAACAGAACTAGAACTAGAACAGAACTAGAACAGAACTAGAACTAGAACAGAACCAGAACAGAACTAGAACAGAACTAGAATTAGAACAGAACTAGAACAGAACTAGAACAGAACTAGAACAGAACTAGAACAGAACTAGAACAGAACTAGAACAGAACTAGAACAGAACTAGAACTGAACTAGAACAGAACTAGAACAGAACTAGAACAGAACTAGAACAGAACCAGAACAGAACAGAACTAGAACAGAACTAGAACTAGAACTAGAACAGAACTAGAACAGAACTAGAACTAGAACAGAACTAGAACAGAACTAGAACAGAACTAGAACAGAACTAGAACAAAACTAGAACAGAACTAGAACAGAACCAGAACAGAACCAGAACAGAACTAGAACAGAACTAGACTAGAACAGAACTAGAACAGAACTAGAACAGAACTAGAACAGAACTAGAACAGAACTAGAACTGAACTAGAACAGAACTAGAACTGAACTAGAACTGAACTAGAACTGAACTAGAACTGAACTAGAACTGAACTAGAACTGAACTAGAACTGAACTAGAACTGAACTAGAACTGAACTAGAACTGAACTAGAACTGAACTTGAACTGAACTAGAACTGAACTAGAACTGAACTAGAACTGAACTAGAACTGAACTAGAACTGAACTAGAACTGAACTAGAACTTAACTAGAACTGAACTAGAACTGAACTAGAACTGAACTAGAACTGAACTAGAACTGAACTAGAACTGAACTAGAACTTAACTAGAACTGAACTAGAACTGAACTAGAACTGAACTAGAACTGAACTAGAACTGAACTAGAACTGAACTAGAACTGAACTAGAACTGAACTAGAACTGAACTAGAACTGAACTAGAATTGAACTAGAACTTAACTAGAACTGAACTGAACTAGAACTGAACTAGAATTGAACTAGAACTGAACTAGAATTGATCTAGAACTAAACTATAAATGAACTAGAACAAAACTAGGTGCGAACTAGAGTTGATCCAAAACTGAACTAGAAGTGAACTACAAGATAATTAGAACTGAACTAGAACTGATGAGAAACTAAACTAGAATTGATCCTGAACTGAACCATGAAACTGTTTATAACATTTAGTTTAAATACAACCCTGCTTAATAAATAAGAATAATTTAGGAAACCCTTTTAACTATGTTTTTCCTTTGACATTCTTAAAAACATTTTACAACAATTTCAAAATAAAATTTCTTTTAACAATTCCTAAAAAAAAATATTTAAAAATTTTAAAATTTACCAGTTAAAACTCCCAAAAAATCAAAAAAATTATAACGTGAATTTAAGAATTAATGGCAATTTAAACGGTCTAAACAAAAATTCTTTAAACAATGACCCCCACACCAAAAATTTGGGATTTAAAACCCCTAGCCACACCCAGTGGTGGTGATTTTTCTCTAGCCCCACCGCAAGATAAAACTCCCTGGCGTTATAGGAAAACAAAAAGAAAATTTAAACATCGACAGCAGCAAGAACTCGAATTCTGTAAACAATTGCAAAATGAATTAAATGTGGCAGCCACCAAATCTTGTTGTTTTATCGAAGATCATGCCACAGAATGGTATAAACGGCAAAAGGAATTGAGGGAAAAGAAGTTTTATTCAGAAATGAATATAACGGAAGCGATTAAACCGCAAGTGCAAATTAAAACAGCCATACGTAACGTAAAGGATTCTAAGGAGAGGATAGAGGGATGTCAGGCTACCTATATTTCTCCCGAGTTTCAAGAGCTGTTGAGAAAACATGATGAGCGCGTGCGGGAAAGATGTATTTTAAGTTCTTTACCCAGAGAATATATACGAAAAAGAAAACGCCCTAGAAGGGAAATAGTAAAAGAAGAACAAGAGGAAAAGGAAACAGAAGAAGTTTTAATCGAAAGTGTAGCAAGTGAAAAGAAAATGCGTATGATATGTAGTTGTAACAGGCTGCAGCAGCCAAAGTTTCCCAAACCAATGCCACAGATTAAGAGAGAAGTTGTTAAGAAGAAATCTAGAAGTTTATGTGGTTGGAGTTGTTGCAGCAAACCACAAGTTTCCCTAGATGAGTTAGAGCAGCAAAAGGCGGAGACATCAAAGAAGAAAGAGATTAAAAGTTTTCGTTTAAGAAAGATGACTAGTGGTTCGCCAAAGGAGGAGAGTAAACAACATATTCCTTTGCCAAAGGAAGAAAGTAAACAGAAACCAAAAATTCCTCGTGGTTTGGCCCACAAGGAAAGTAAACCAAAACAAATAATAACTAGTGGTTTGACAGAAAAGGAAAGTTCGGATATAGCTGAAAGAAAACATAAAATTTACCCCAAGTTTAAGGTAAAGGAAGCTCCAAAACCGAAGCCTACAGAGGAGAAGAAGAGAGAATTAAAAGAAAAACCTTCTAAAACTCCGCAACCAGCAGCAACAGAAGAAGTATTAAGAAGGGAATCACCACCAACACAACCTAAACCTTCCAAAGAAGAAGTTAATAAACCCAAAGAACCAGAGAAACCTAAAGAATCCAAAAAACCTAAAGAGCCCAAGGAACCCAAGAAACCTAAAGAACCCCGAAAACCAAAGATCAAAGAAAAGCCGGTCAAAAAGGACAAAGAAAAACCCAAACTACCGCTCAAACCCAAAGAGAGTGTCCTAAAAAGAACTCTGCAACAGTTAAAGAATCTTTCAAGGCATAAAACGAAAGAGAAATATGAAGAAGAAGAGATTAAAGTTGAGATCAAATATAGAGATTTTAAACCACGTCATCGTTTTCATCAAACCGCCAGCAGCACGGACAAACTGAAACGTTTTAAAGAACTAGAAGAAGAGTTCAGCGGCAAACGTACAACCAGCCAAAGATGGGCCCGACAATATATGGAGGACTCCGATGAAGAACCTATCACTCTACAGAAATTAGAATACATACCAAGAGTACGCATTTTTAAAACGGACAACAACCCTAAAGTAATCACCTACAAGCCGGCCAGATTAAGGTTAATTAATCCCTTTGTAAGGGTAAAAAGAAAACATAAAAGAATATCAGCGGGTGCCTCGAAACGACGACTATCAAGAGATAGTGATAGTGTGGAACGAGAGGTTGATGATTTCGAACGTAGAAGTTCGTTAAAAGAACTCTGGACTAAACGAAATGTTGCCGAAATGAGTGATTCCGATGTGGAAGTGGTGAATTTTCAACCACGCATACACATGACAGTAGAAGATCCTAATGCTGATCTTCTATCTTTGGAAAGAGAACAAAGGAGAGAACGTAGAAAGAAGCTGGCAGCGGAAAGACTTAAAACAAAAACTTCAACGCCAGACAAACCCAAACCGGATTATGTTTTGGGTAAGAAGAAAAAGAAAGAAGAAAAGTTGATGAAAGAGGAAAAACCGAAAGAGGAAAAGAAGAAAGAAGAAAAGAAAAAGCCCAAAGAAAAAGAACTGAAACCAGAGCCGGAAGCTAAACCTAAGCCGGAGAAGAAGAAAGGATTCTTCCAGAAGAAAGAAAAGCCTAAGTATCATCCATCCATGTCCCAACTAGTTGTCATACAATTAAAAACTTTTCTTTAATTCCAGGAAACCTTCCATAGAACCCGTACCACAACCCGTACCACAACCGGTGGCAAAACCAATGCCAGAACCGCAACCAATACCTCAGCCAATAGCGCAACCTGTAAGCGAACCTGTAGCGGAAGCTAAACGACCTACTCCGCCTTATCCCACGGCTAATGCTGTTTGTCCACTTAGTGCAGCAGCTTATTACCAACAATATCTAACGCAGCCACCAGAAATGAGAGCACAAACACCATGGCTAAGCAGTGATCCAAATAATCTTAGAAACTCCTTACAAAAGGGACAAACAACTCAGCCGAATGTCGGACAATATTATGATCCAAATCAACCCAGAAACTCTAAAGAACAGCAAGCACAAACTCCCTTACAAACAGGACAATCAATTCAGCCAAATAACGGACAATATTATGATCCAAATCAACCTAGAAACTCTAAACAGCAGGGAGCACTACCTATTTGGAATGCTGGACAAATCAATGATCCAAATAATCCCCAAACAGGACAACAAACTCAGCCAAATGCCGGGCAATACTATGATCCAAATAATCCCCAAGCGGCATTACAACCAGGACAACAAACTCAACCAAATGCCGGGCAATACTATGATCCAAATAATCCTCCAATCTCATTACAACAAGGACAACCAACTCAACCAAATGCCGGGCAATACTATGATCCAAACAATCCCCTAATCTCATTGCAACAAGGACAACAACAATATTATGATCCAAATAAACCCCAAACAGTGGTAACAGGAGAACAACCTCCTCCTCCTCTAGCAGTTAGCAATTATTACCAACCAATGCCAATTACACAACAACCTTTTCCTGATGCTAAAACTCCAGCCGATAAAGTGCGTTCCTCAATAGAATCGCGTCAAAGAAAAGCCTTATTAGACTATCAAATGTATAGCGCTTACTATCGCGATAATAGACCGTATCCTAGACAAAAAAGAAGCTCCAGAGAATATACGAAAAACTATGCAAATTTATATCAACATGGCAATAAAAATAAACCCTGTTCGTGTAAAGCGCCCTCAATAACAACAACAACTAAAGTAAAAAGAAAGCGAGAGTATCGCACTGGAGGCTATGAATATCCACTCCAAGAAACCTGTTCCTGTCAGGGTTTTAGAAACTATGAAGAAGAGCAAAGAAGCGCTCAGCTTCCCTATGGCTATCAGCCGGATTATGTAAATGAGCAGCAATTTAAACAGCAAATTTGCCCATTTCATGGTGTGATGACTTTTGACGGCTTTGGAAAGCAACAATTCACCACTGCTTTACCACCTACTCCCTTAGCACCCTGTTCTTACCTCACGGCAAAACCTTATGGTGAAGAGAAACCTAATCCAGATTATCGTTTTGATTATGCTCAAAACTATGGCAATATACAGGCGGGAGTAACTTGTCCTTGTCAAGCGATTAAAGCTTTCGAAGATCAACGAAAGCAAGATTATAGTTTTGGTCCAAAACCTTGTCCTTGTCAAAATGCACAAGCTAATGAAGAGGAGAAAAGAAGAAAAGAACAATATCGTTTTGAATATGGTCAAAAGGATGCTTGTCCTTGTAAAGCTAAAAGAGAGGAAGAAGAGGAGAAAGGAAAATGTCCCTGTGGTAGACCGCTACCTTGTGCTTGTAAGGAAGCTTATAGAAATAAACAGCAGCAGGTTTCTTGTCCTTGTAAAGCTGACATAGAGATGAAGGAGAGTGTTGGCAAGTCGCCTTGCCCGTGTAAAGAATCCAGCCGAAGTAAGCAGCAGGAAACTTGTCCCTGTCAAAGAACTAAAGTCGATGAGGAAGAGAGACAAGGAAAATGTACTTGTCAAGCAACTAAATCCTATGAAGAGCAGAGAAGGTCTGTTTGTGCTTGTGAAGAGGAAATTAGAAAAAAGAAGCAGCAGGAAACTTGTGCTTGTCAAGAAGAATCTAGAAGAAAGAGTCAGCAACAAACTTGTGCTTGTGAAGAAGAGTCCAGAAGAAAGAAACAGCAGAAAACTTGTGCATGTGAAGAAGAATCTAGAAGAAAGAAGCAACAGGAAACTTGTGCTTGTGAAGAGGAGTCCAGGAGAAAGAAGCAGCAGGAAACTTGTGCTTGTGAAGAAGAATCTAGAAGAAAGAGCCAGCAACAAACTTGTGCTTGTGAAGAAGAGTCCAGGAGAAAGAAACAGCAAGAAACTTGTGCTTGTGAAGAGGAGTCCAGGAGAAAGAAACAACAAGAAACATGTGCTTGTGAAGAAGAGTCCCGAAGAAAGAAACAACAAGAAACTTGTGCTTGTGAAGAAGAGTCCAGAAGAAAGAAACAACAAGAAACATGTGCTTGTGAAGAAGAGTCCCGAAGAAAGAAACAACAAGAAACTTGTGCTTGTGAAGAAGAGTCCAGAAGAAAGAAACAACAAGAAACATGTGCTTGTGAAGAAGAGTCCAGGAGAAAGAAGCAGCAGCAAACATGTCCTTGTCAAGCAGCCAAAGACAATGAGGAAGAGTGGCAAGGTAAATGTCCTTGTACCAGGAATGACAGAGATAAAAAGCAGCAGGATGAAGCCTGTCCCTGTCAAACACCAAAATCCTATGATGAAGGTCGGCAAGGAGAATGTCCTTGTAAAGGATCTAATGGAAATAAACAGCTACAGGAAACTTGTCCTTGTCAACAAACTAAAACGAATGGAGAAGATAGAAACCCATGTCCCTGTAAAGTTACAAATGGAAATGGACGACAGCAGGACGTTTGCCCTTGTAAGGATTCCACTGAAAATGGAAGACAGCAGGAAGAAAAATCCGATGAAGAGAAAAGGCAAGCGGAATGTCCCTGTAAAGATACTAATGAAAGAAATAGATCTTCCAATGCAAGGAGACCATCTTATGAAAGGAGATCCTCGTATAAAGGGAGATCTTCTTATGACGGAAGATCTTCTTATTCTGCAGGAAGACAACCAATCTGCACTTGTGATCAAACCTGTACTTGTAAAGATTCCGATGGAAATATTCAAACTTGTTCATGCACGCAAAGAGAAGCGAAAGATAAAAATCAAGAGCCGGAAAGAGGACTTTACGAAATGGTTAAATATTGTGAGGAGAAAATTCAAAGAGAGAAAGAACAGGAAAGCTGTACTTGTAAACAAAAGAGTGATGAAGATGATGATGATGAAGAGAAATGCAAATGTCGCAAAAAATCCAAATCTTTTGAGGATAAAAAGAAATGTTCCTGCAAACGTTCCAAATCTTGTGATGATGTGAGGAAATGTAAATGCAAGAAGCAAAAGGATAATTGCAAACGTTCCAAATCCTGTGATGAATGCCGCAAAAAGAAAAGGAAAACGTGCAGTTGTGAAAACTCCAGTTCCAGTGATGATGAAAGTGATAGCGATAGTGAAGAGGAAGAGTTTGACTCCAGCTCCAGCGAAGAGGATTCTTCCTGTTCTTGCAAAAAATGTAAAAAGAAACGAAAACAAAAGAAAGCACGAAAAAGTAAAAAGAAAACTTGGAAGCTAAGCAAACTTTGCAAACGAGATTCCTGTTCTTGCCAGAAGTCTAAAACCTGTAATAAAAAGAAGAAACTTAAAAAATGCGTCGATCCCTGCAAAGACACTGATAGCGATGATGAATGCGAAGATTCGCAGGATTCTAGTTCCTGCCAAAAGGATCCCTGTGCTAAGAAGAAGAAACAAAAAACTTGTACTGATCCTTGTAAGAGTAAAAAGAAAACTTGTAAACAAGATCCCTGTAAAACAACCAAATCCTGTGATAAGAAGAAAAAACAAAAGTCCTGTTCTGAACCCTGCAAAGATGCAGAAGACAGTGAAGAGGATTCCTGCAATGATCCTTGCAAATCTCAATCGTCCAAACAAACATGCCCACGCTCAACCTGCCACAAATGCGCAAATGAAAGGCAACCTCAATGTCCCTCCCAAGCCAATGCTAACAGCTACAGTTGCCAAAAATCTAACGATGATTACAACTATTTTCCAGACACTGGAGTTGCTCGCGATAAGAAGCAATCTTTGGAAAGTGAAAGAACTATTTATATGTATCGGCGTATACGCAAAACCAAGAGCACTAAGGATGATGTGATCGCCGCAAAACCTCAACAAACGAAGTTAAACGATCCTCATGACATGAAAATGTCCAAGAGATGGGCTGACTATCGTTATAAATACAATCAACAGAAATATTCGGGTAATAAACAATGGCTGGACTATAGGGAAGGGAAGAATGAAGACAATGTGCGTGAACGTAAGAAAACTAAAACTTGTGGTAATTGTGGAGGCAAACGGCAATCTATAGAATCGAACACAAACAAATATTGTGCCAATTCAGGCAGAAGAACTCAATCTTGTGGCTGTAACAATTGTAATTCCCAAGATAATGAGGATCGACGAACTTCTAAAGATTCCCAAACTTCCAATAGAGGTTGTGCTAGATGTTCCAAAGATTCTACAGACTCGAGAGCATCAAGACGTTCTTCTTATGATCAAGATAGTCCTCGAAATTCTATAGAATCTCGCGATAAGAAATATTGCTTTGGACGTTCCAAAGATTCAAGAAATAGAAGACATTCTAGAGACTCCAGAGAATCTTCTTATGATACCTATTGTCCTCAAAGTTCTAAGGAATCTCAGCACAATAAGTATTGCTTGAGATCTTCCAACGATAGAAGACATTCTCAAGACTCTAGAGAATCAAGACGTTCTTCTTATGAGCATGAAACACCTAGATCCTCTTTGGACTCCCAGGATAAGTGTGATAAATGTAATAAATACACATCCAAAAGAAATGATAACCAACAACAATCGAAATCCAATAGTGAAGAAGAAATGCCACATAGAAGTCGTAAAAGATATAGAGGAGGTTCAGAACCGGAGAATGATCAAACAAAACCGCCACCAATACCACCCAAACCTGCCAAAAAACCTAGAAGATTATCTCTCTGTTGTATATCTTCCTCTAGAGGTTCGTCGGATAGCATAAGAAGTATGACAAACCCTCAGGCAGATAATTTAACTAAAGAACAACATGCCAGCACTTCAAAATTTAAGAAAATCAAAAAATTATGTTTCAAAGATTCTCTCTGCTGCACGGCCCTATGTCGAAAACCTAAAAAACCCCCAAAAGAAGTAGAATTCAAAATAGAAGCTGAACCAGAACCTGAACCCCAACCAGAGCCAGAAACTGATGTTGTAATTGAGAAAAAAGTGCGTAAATGTAAACTTCCTAAAAGACCTCCCGGAGCGGCGAAATATACCGTTCCCGTTAATGTGTCCAAAAATCATGAAATGTGTTATAAAGATTCTCACTACTGGTTGGGTTTAAATGCCAATTATCCGCGGACATATCAGGAACTTGCCCAAAGACAACAAGAAGCCAAAGAACGTTTAGCGCAACAAAGACGAAAACTATGGGGTAATACTTGCCCTAAGCCAAAACCCTCTCAGGAATTATATAAACCTAATAAAGAAAAGACCCTTTACGATGTAAAACCAGCTCATAGGAATTGTTTTAGTGATGATTCTGCTCCTCCCAAAGAGGTCAAGGAAAGTAGTAAGCGATTAAAACGTTTTAGACAGCGAGAGTTGGAAATACAAAGAGTACGCGATGCTAATCCAGCTCCCCGACCTTGTACATGTAAAACTCCTACAGCAGCTAAACAAAGATCACACAAGGAAACTTTCTCTCATAGAAATTGCGATTGTCAGCAGAGTTCTTATCCTGAAAGTGATGGTGAGAAAGACATTACAAAACGCAAGAAAAAGTATAGCAAAAAACTGGAAAAGCAGACGGAAAAATTGAAAGAAAGAGACAAGAGTGAACGGGAGAAAAATAAGAAACTAAGTCAACGTGATAAATCTCCTGTTTATAGAAATTGTGATTGTGAACGAACACAACATGCTGTCAAAGACAAAAAAAGATCCGAGAACGATAAACAAAAGAAAGAAGATAAAAAGAAAGCAAAACAAAAGAAACGTGATAAATCAACTGCTTACAAAAAATGCGGCTGTGAGAAATGTCTGCAAGATGAGAAGAAATCGAAAAATAATTTGACGAAATTTTTGCCTAAGAAACTATTTTAGAAAGTCAAAAGTAACCGGGAGTCAAGAAACATCCAACTATTAAGAGTACAAGCTTAGAAAGATGAACTTTTAAGAGTCAATCTAAATATTATGGGATAATTTTGAGATCTTACTTCTATACTAGATCACACTTTAAATGATCTTGAGATCATATAAATGATCTTATCATGTAAATGATGTCGCGATCGTCCAAGTGATCTAGAGAATATGTGAGAGAAAGATCGCTTAATGTTTCTATTAAAGTTCTCTAGATTATCTAAATAGCCTACATATCATCTTAAATGATTTAGAAATCATCATAAATGAACCACAGATCCTCTTAAATGATCTACAGATCATCTTAAATGATCTATAGATCATCTTCAATGATCATCTCTAGAGTTTACTTTTAAATGATCAAGATATCAGCTAAATGATCTGGAGATCATCTAAATGATCTGGAGATCATCTAAATGATTTCGAGATCATCTAAATGATTTCGAGATCATCTAAATGATCTTAATTATATACAGAGTATCAAATTATCAAGAGATCCTTAAGCTCACCCAAAGATGCATCAAATGATCTTATCTATGATAATCCCACAATCACTCAATGATCTCAAGATCATCTAAATGATCTCAAGATCATATAAATGATTTCTAAGACATTCCTTAAGATCTTTCAACAGATCGGAAAATCATACCAATGGTCCTAAGACAATCGAAATGATCTCAACAACATCCAATAGATCTAAGATTTTCCAAAATGAAGGTCAGAAATTGATCTCAAAGTCGAAATGATCTTGATGCATAAAGCAGGGGTCTGAAATTTTGTTAAACTAAATTTTAAAGTGTATTCTTTACAAAATTATTTGTGTATCAAAATTGTAATCAATAAAATTTGTTATGAAAAAAGTTTAGCATTCGCAAAGTATTTATAATGATTTTGTAAAAGATATAACGATCGTAAAGATTCGGAATGATCAGTAGATGAATTTAATTAATTTTAAATAGATAGATAGATAGATAGATAGATAGATAGATAGATAGATAGATAGATAGATGGATGGATGGATGGATGGATGGATGGATGGATGGATGGATGGATGGATTGATGGATGGATGGATGGATGGATGGATGGATGGATAGATAGATAGATAGATAGATAGATAGATAGATAGATAGATAGATAGATAGATAGATAGATAGATAGATAGATAGATAGATAGATAGATAGATAGATAGATAGATAGATAGATAGATAGATAGATAGATAGATAGATAGATAGATAGATAGATAGATAGATAGATAGATAGATAGATAGATAGATAGATAGATAGATAGATAGATAGATAGATAGATAGATAGATAGATAGATAGATAGATAGATAGATAGATAGATAGATAGATAGATAGATAGATAGATAGATAGATAGATAGATAGATAGATAGATAGATAGATAGATAGATAGATAGATAGATAGATAGATAGATAGATAGATAGATAGATAGATAGATAGATAGATAGATAGATAGATAGATAGCATGTAAGTGATATTTGGTCTTTTAAGTGAACAAGAAATCGCGTCTTCATGTCCTCTAAATGTTATAGGTATAATCTAAATGGTCTATAAATCATCTACATAATCTAGCTTCCCCCAGGAATGATCTAGAAATAACCTAAATGATCTAGAAATCATCTAAATGATATAAAGATCATCTAAATGATCGGATGATCATCTAAAGGTCGTCTAAATGATCTAAAGATCATCTAAATAATATAAAGATCATCTATATTATATGAAGATCATTTAAATTATCTAGTGATCAATAAAAAATACAGATCTTGAGATTCTTTAAATTAGATTTTATACATTACCCCAGGCATTTGTAAAATCCCGGCAAAGAATCCTAAAATGTTTTATAGGAAACTATAATTTTTCGATCCTTTCAAATTGATTATTCTTTTTCCAATTTATAAAATTTCTACTAAACAAAAACATAAAAATTTTCTGTTTTATAAATTTTGGACTTTTTTTTTAAATTATTAACACAAAATGTTGCACAGAAGACTAAAACAACCATTAACCCCCCTAAAACAAATGTTGAAAACCAGTCAGCAAAATAAATGTCAAATGCCTCTTAATAACCAGGAAAAATGTCGCTTTAAACAATGTCAACCGGAAGCAGAAATCAAATGTGAACATTTGGCAAAACTCGATAAATATTGGAGTGAATTGCTAAAAGCACAACAGGAATCCACAGCTAATTATTTGTATAATATGCAAATATTTGGTAATAATCAAGATCCCACTTTAGAGAAAAGGCAACCGATAGAGGAGTTTGAAATACAACAACGTGTTATGCATATGGGCTTAGTGGGAGGTCTTTTAAAAACCGATATGTTTTATCTTTTAAGTTTTTTGTTAAATTTACTAAAATTACCCGAGGAAAAGCAACAGGAATATATGGAATATTTACAGGATGAAAAACTTTTAGAGGGAGAAATTATAGATTATTTGGAACTATTAAGCCGGCAAAAGAATGCCGGTTTAGGAGAACAACAGCTAAAGCAGTTTGTAAAGATGTTGACAAATTTAAGACAGAGAGAGGGGCATAATAAAGAGCTAAATTATTATAATGCAAAGCAAATATTTTTGAAAACTTTAAACGATATAAATCCTTATGAATTGGAATATTTAAATAATATTTTACATAAACCAGGAAAGCTAAGCTGGCCAGAGTTTTGGTATTTGGCTAAATTGGTAGACAAATTACAGGCCATGGAGGAGTCTAAGAGAGAAGAATATTTGAATTATTTTCATAATAACAAAATCCTCCCCTTTAAGAGATTTGAAACACTTTTGGCTTTTATGTTTAGCAAATCCAAAAGATTGAAACAAACTAAACTACAAAACTTGCTAAAAGCTTTATATGAATTAATGGATATAGGACCTTGTCTAACAGAAACGGAAAGACCATCTCCAATCCAGCTTAAACCTTTGCCAATACATATAGATTACCAGGTAATCGATAAGGCCTTACGACATCTTCTAAAGGAACGTTTACCCAATATAGTGCGTGTCAATGATTTGAAAAACTTTCTATGTAATCTTTTAGTCATACATCCCGATCAAATTTGGGAAAATTTAGTAAATCTGAAAAAATCGTATATCTTAACTCCTCCACGTTTCAAATATATAGAAAATTTTATATTACAAGGCAAACTGGGTAAAGTGGATAAGATGAAAAGAAATTTACTTTTATTTTTATTAAAAAGGGTATCCACGTTAACCTTCAATACCGAGGGAGCGGGTGGGATTTTGACAAATTTGGCAATACCCGCTAGTAAAGGTCCCCTGGTGGAGAGAGCACAGGTGGAGGCTGCAAAAACTGCTGAAGTAAAACCTGTGGAAGAGTCACAGAAAAATGAGGATCAAACTAAACTAGAAACCAAGAAAACTATTGAAGAGCCTAAGGAAAAAGCTTCAAAGAAAAAAGATAAAAAAGCTTTAAAGAAATCACAGAAAAAAGGAGGCAAGAAAAAGAAATGAGAAACTTGTTTAAAACTTCAAATTTCAATTCTTTATTAAATTAAAAGTAAACCAAAATTTCTGTTCAATAAATATATTTTTTTCAAAATTCTTAGTATTTCAACAAAAATCTCTTTTAAAAATCCTAAGCTTTTGCATAAATGTCCTCCTTAAATCCTAAGGATTTGACGGCATCGAAAACAGCCGAAACTAAACCTTCACTTATAGAAGAACTAAAGAAAAAACGAAGTCTCCATGATGCTGCTTATCCCCCGAAAGCCAGTAGACTACAGTTTTTGCAAAGAAAAGCAACACAAGAAAAGCTTAACTACATAGTCAGCATAAAGGAGGGGAAATTGGTTAAGAAATGAAAGGTATACAAACAGAAGAAAGTCTAAAAATAGGGTGAAAAAAGCAAAGGAGAACTTAATAGACTTAGCTCTATAGGGAGATCTACTGAGATCTAATTAGAGCTGTGGAAGTGAGCAAGATTTGCAACACGTACGTGGAAAATAGTACTTTTTTATGGCAAATATTAAAAATTATCTATTTTTGTAAAACAAAATCGAATTCTTTAGAAAATCCAATAAAAATGGTAAATTTTGTGAAAAAGTACTTTAGTACAAAAAAGTACTTTTTTTATTATTTAGTACTGTTTTAAGGTATAGATCCTATTTTTAATATAAGAAAGGTACATTTTGAGAAAAAGTACTTTTTTGTTATTTAGTACTTTTCTTAAAAAAGAAGTTTTATCTATCTATGTATGTATGTATGTATGTATCTATCTATCTATCTATCTATCTATCTATCTATCTATCTATCTATCTATCTAT